ATATATGAATTACAGACTCTGCATGAAAAGTTCTTACCCTGGCATGTATTAAGTGTTCAGCATTTAGTGTCAATGCCTGGTTTATGCCTGACCACACCAGAGAGCCAGTTCAAAGATCAACACATGGAATTCATTATGCTTATGGAAATGCTTAATATGCCTTCCTATATAGTGAAAATTTCAAAGGCAGAAATACTTTTTACCCTTGACCTTTCCCTTACAAAGAACCTGTGTTTTACACTGTGTGTAAGGTGCCTGGCTTTGTATTCTTTCTCATCAAAGCACTAGCTTCTAACCTTGGCTCCATCACTGTAGGCTGTGTATTTCCAAGCAACTTCAGTTTTGTTTTGTTTTGAACCCTGTCATTTTGTTTCCTCATCTGTAAATATAGGAAAATAAGAATAAATATCTCATGGAATGTTGTAAAGATTAACTGAGATATCCTTTGTTAAATGATGAGCACATACCTAGAATATAATGAACTCTCAGGAAAATGCTTTAAAAAGTTCCTTTACTTTTAATTTCTGTATGATACCATGATTCTGTACTGAGAAGATCTAAAAAGAAATTAAGATACATTGTTTGGGCCACACAGGAGCTTACAGAAAAACACAAGACACAATTTTATTACAGATCTGTATAGAGAAGAATGTGATTCAAATTCCTAAATCAGAGGTTCAGGAAGCAAGTAAAAGCACCAAGCAAGTGATAAATTTCAAAGCAACTGAACTCTGGTAGCACAGTGGGTAGGGCATTTGGTTGCTAACCAGAAGGTCTATGATTCAAACCCACCACCAGCTGCTCCATGGGATGAAACCAAAAAACCAAAACCCACTGCTGTCGAGTCAGATCCAACTCATAGCGACCCTTCCCTGGGTTTCCGAGGCAGTATCACTACGAAGTAGATTGCCTAATCTTCCTGCTGAAGAGTGGCTGGTGGGTCGGTTTGAACCGCCATCCTTCTGGTAAGCAGTCAAATGCCTTAGGCATTACACCACCAGAGCTACTCCTTGAGATGAAGATGAAGCAATCTACTTCTATTAAGATTCACTGCCTCGGAAAACCAACTGAGATCGTTATGAGTCGGACTTGACCAGATGGCAGTGGAGTTGTGTTTTTTTTTTTTTTTTTTTCTCTCTTTTTTAATATAATCTTTACCAGAACCTGTCCTCATCAGCTTTGGAGGAAAGAGTAGATGGTGCAGCGAGGGTAAAATACCAAATAGATATAGATCCCATCAAGGTGCTTTATAATAAAAGAAGTGAAATGCCACAGTATTTAAATAAAACTTTGTTCCTACCTTCTTGGCCTGAAAACAAGTAGGCACCTATTCTTCTACCAGTTTAAATTGTTCTTTCCTTGGCAAAGGCAGAAATTTAAGTTTCAGAACCACTTACTGGGCCAAGCCTCTTCCAATAAACTGAGAGGGGGCCCTAGTAATTGTCCATGTGATCATATGTTTTTGCAAATTTTTCATAAGTATTTTAACGCAGTTAGTTTCTTTTCACTCAGACTTTCTATTTGTTGCTTTTCTCTTTGAGTTAAGTGGCTACAGCATTTTAGATATCCTTCTAAGGGGTCGCTATGAGTCGGGTCTGACTCCACGGCACATAACAACAACACAACAACTAAGGGGAAGCTGAGAGAAAGTAACATTTACTCCAGGTTCAGTGAGGGACATTTAGGGCAGTTCTGTGTCATTGCTAAATGTTCTGATACATAATGGGTTCCAGGAATCTTCCTACTGCCACTGCACTGGGTCACCCTGCTTCCTGCTGTGAACCAGGGGTGGTGATAGTGTTCAATGCTTGTCAGCTATCTGAACTAAAAAAAAAAAAAAAAAACTCTTAAAATTTTCCTGTTGTTGTTGGGTGCTGTCGAGTCATCTCTGACTCATAGCAACCCTATGCACAGCAGAACAAAACACTGCCCAGTCCTATGCCAGCCTCACGATCTTTGCTATACCTGAACCCATCATTGCAGCCACTGTATCTATCCATCTCATGGAGGGCCTTCCCTTTCTTCATTGACCTTCCACTTTACCAAGTATGGTATCCTTCTCCAGGGAATGGTTCCTTCTGACAACATGACCAAAGTAGGTGCAACGAAGTCTGGCCATTCTACCTTCCAAGGAGCATTCTGGATGCACTTCCTCCAGGAGATTTCTGACTGTGGGATACCTGCAGGGCAGGCTGATCATGAATATTTTGCCCATAGAATCTTTCAACATTGCAACTCGAGGCTTAGATTTTTTCCTCAGTTCTTTCAGCTTGAGAAATTCCAACCGTGTTTTTCCCTTTTGATTCTCTAACTCCAGGTCTTTGCACATTTCATTAGAGTAATTGGCTTTGTCTGCTCGAACTGCTCTTTGAAATCTTCTGTTCAACTCTTTATCTTGTCATTTCTTCCATTTGCTTTAGCTACTCTCTGTTCAAGGACAAGATTCAGAGTCTCTTCTGACATCCATTTTGGTCTTTTCTTCCATTTTTGTCTTTTTAATGACCTCTTGCTTTCTTCATGGATGATGTACTTGATGTCATCCCACAATTCCTCTGGTTTTCGGTCATTGATGTTCAAGGCCACCAAATCTATTCTTTAAATGGTCTCTAAATTCAGGAGGGATAGTATCGAGGTCATATTTTGGCTCTTGTGGACTTGTTTTAATTGTCTTCAGCTTCAACTTGGACATCCATATGAGCAGTTGATGGTTTGTTCCACAATCAGCTCCTGGCCTGCTTTTGGTTGAAGATATTGAGCTTCTTCATTGCCTCTTGCCACAGATATAGTCAATCTGACTCCTGTGCATTCCATCTCATGAAGTCCATATGTATAGTTACCACTTATGTTGTTGAAAAAAGGTATTTGCAATGAACAAATCATTGGTCTTGCAAAATTCTATCATGCAATCTCCAGCATTATTTCCATTACCAAGGCCATATTTTCCAACTAACGGTGACTCTTCTTTGTTTCCAACTTTTGCATTCCAGTCACCAGTGATAATCAACACATCTTGATTGCATGTTCAATCAATTTCAGACTGCAGAAGTTGGTAGAAATCTTCAGTATCCTCATCTTTGGCTTTGGTGGTTGGTGCATAAATTTGGATAATAGTAGTATTAACTGGTCTTTCTTAAAGGTGTATGGATATTATACTATCACTGACAGCATTGTACATCAGGACAGATCTTGAAACATCCTTTGTGATGATGAATGCCAACCATTCCTCTTCAATTTGTCATTCCCAGCTGTTCTGGTTACCTAGTGCCACTCTGACAAGAAATACACCACAAATGGAATGGCCTTAACAAACAAAAGTTTATTCTTACAATTTGGAGGCTTTAAATTCAAGTTAAAAGTGCCAGGCTCTAAGGGCTGGGTGAAAGCCCCTCAACCTTGGGGTCCAGCTCTGCTTCCTGCTCCCAGCCCACTGGAGCTAGAGGTGTTTCTTCACTCAGACAGCTGCTGGCTGCTGAGGCTGAGAAGCCCCAAGGTTAACAAGTAAAAAGGCACAGTCCTGATGTTACCAAACCACACAACAGACCATTAACTTAAGTCCATTGTAAGTCCCAAGGTCAGCAGAGCGCAGCAGGCTGTTGAACAATGGCACGGCTACATGTAGTATCCAAGTGTGCCATAGGCTAGAGACCATTCCCAAGACTTCTCCTCATATGCAGGAAGCAAACCACTTCCTAAAGGCAGCTACTCAGCTGCTTGTGGCAGATCTGATCTTTTCTGATCAGGTTCTCTGTTTTCCTTCCATTCTCGGAATTACCACTTTGGTTTGTTTTCCCCTGTATCATTTATCACCAGCTGACATACCACGTAGAACAGTGGCTCCATGGCTTCTCTGTCCACCACCATATCCCTATATGGAAAGTATTTGGTGAAAGAAGTAATTTTAAAGCATTCTAAAAGGTACTTTTCTATTATATGGTAACACTAATTTCAAATATTCTCATTTAAAATGTCTGTTTTTCACTTTTAATTTGGGTAAAAAACATGACCTGACTACATGCTATAGGACTGACATTATGTACCTTTTAATGAAAAAAAAGCTTCAAATAAACTAAATATATATTTTAAATTTATTTTTTGAAGAAAAGTGCAGTTCTTCTAATTGTTTTTATTTTCAGTAATATTAAAATAATTATTGGTAACTTTTGTCTTTTTCCTTTTAAAAGAGCCCCTATAAACTTTATAACTGAAACATTTTTAAACTGTCTTTAATATATGGAAGGAAATCTTAAACCTATAAATTATTTGATATTAAAACTATGGCCATTTTTACTAAAATAACTCTTGCAATTCTTAAAATTCAGAAATTATGCTAGTCATGATTATTTTTATATTACTCATTTTTTTATATATGTTTTTTTCAGATCTCTGTCCATGATCTTTTCCTTTCCTTTTTTACATGCAATAGATTTGACATCACCCCTTAAAAGAATCAAAAGGGGACAAATCAGACAAGAGAGGGTGTTGTATAATTAATGAATGTCCATTGATCATCCCTTCTGAAAATTGTAATTCACTATGATTGCAGAAGCTCTGGTAGCATAGTGGCTAAAGCACTTGACTGCTAACCAGAAGGCTGGCGGTTCAAACCCACCAGCCAATCCTCGGAAGGAAGGTTGGGCAATCCTACTTCTGTAGTGATACTGCCTCGGAAACCCAAGAAGGGGTCGCTATGAGTCGGGGCTGACTTGACGGCACATAACAACAACAACAACAACGATTGCAGGAGTAGTGCAAAAACAACAAGAGGCTGGAATAGCTTAGAAGCAAAGGGTTCCTTATCCCTGATATTTCTTGCAGCTGCATGGTTGTATGGTTCTAGGAAATGCTCAAATCACATTCAACTCCCAGCAGAAACAACGCTGCATACATGCCCTTCAGGCATGAAAAGTGGAGACAGAATCCAATCAACAGGGGAGAGAAGTGGTAGTAATGCTTAACATTCAGGCAACAAATTGAATAAAATAATATAAATATGAAAGTTGCTAAATATCTGAAATATGTTTTCCTGTGATAACTATTAACAGATATTCAACTCCTCATTTTTTGCATCCACGATTATTAAAATTTCAAATTGTGGGAGGATTTTGTCAACAGCTGGGCCTCATTTCTCTTAAGTATTTATTGTTGAGTGCTGTTGCAGATTTTTCTGGTTCTGTTTGTAAAGTGAATGAGGAATGTCTTTTCTCTCAAATTGAATTTTGTTTTTGTATCAGTGGCTCTAGGTGGCTATAATTATTTTTAAAGTCTTTAAACTCTCACTGCTGTGAAGTCATTTTCCAACTCATAGTGACCCCTCTGTGGGTTTCTGAGGCAGTATCACTACAGAAGTAGATTGCCCAACCTTCCTTTAGAGGAGTGGCTGGTGGGTTTGAATCGCCAAACTTCTGGTTAGCAATCAAATACCTTAGGCACTATGCCACCAGAGCTCCTTATCTATTTTAATTAATATTTTAATGTGAGACATCAAATATAGTTTTCCAAAAAATATTTCATTTCAATTATTTTTAAAATTTGTAATTAACATACTCTCACTGCCCTGGAATTGGATCCGACTCATAGTGACCCCTCCTTGCGTTTCCGAGGTAATATCACTGCAGAAGTAGATTGCCCACCCGTCCTTCTGAGGAGTAGCTGGTGGGTTTGAACTACCAGTCTTCTGGTTAGCAGTCAAATGGCTTAGGCACTATGCCACCAGAACTCCTGTAATTAACATGGTAATATTATTATTTCGATGTTTGTGCAGTCTATGCTTAGTTGGTACATTTTAGACAGATAATTTATACCTGGTATATTCAAATTCATAGCATAAGAAAAATTAAAATAAATTATATGATTTTGTATTTCTCTTCTCCTTAGTGATAAACATTCAGCTAGTTTTGCGTTAGAATGGATGAGATTCAGACATAGTTTATATAAAATTTAAAATTCTTGTTCTGTTTGCATTTGGAATAAATGAAAGTATTTACAGAAAATAAAATAAGATGATAGCATCATAATTCTCAAAACTATGCTGTGTAGAGAATGACATGGAGAATAGTATTCATCTCACTCTAGGACAACTATTTATAGAAGAGCTAACATAAGTATTAATCCCATTGTCAAGTCTAGCTGCTAGTTTCATATGTCAAATCAGACTAGGTTTTTAAGAAGTACTTTTCATTTATAAATTTTTATAAAATGGTACTCTAAATGGCAACATTTTATACTTTATAGTTGTATATATTAACTTTGTAAAATATTCTACATTATAAATGTATGAGCAGATTAAAAAAATACATTTTTTATCTCCTTCTATGAGTTAGTGGTATTTGTCACTCATTCCAAACATTGAAACAGCAATGAATGCTTAGGACGAGAATGTATCGAGTTGGGTGGAGTGACAGCTGGCATGCTGATTCGTCATGCTTCATTCTTACACCTGTTGCAATGGCTTACTCAGCTTTTGCCTTCAGTAAAGACATTCCTGGATCTCTAAACATGTAACTTTTCATAGATGTATTTCCATCAGTATAATGTAGCATGTATTTTTGAAACATGTATTGCATTGAATTCTCTAAGGATAATAATGGCTCATTTTTATGCCACAATAATTTTCATAATATATGCCTTTAATTAACAAGTGTCCATTATTAGTTATTTTCTATATTAAATAGCATGCCACCATATATATTATATAGTTGTATGGTAGCATAGTGTCTAAGGCACTTGACTGCTAACCAGAAGGCTGGCAGTTCAAACCCACCAGCCACTCCTGAGAAGGAAGTTTGGGCAATCTACTTCCATAATGATACTGCCCTGGAAACCCAAGAAGGGGTGGCTATGAGTTGGGTCCCACTCGATGGCACATAACAACAACAACATGAAGTCTGAAATTTTCTAAATTATTAAACAAAGGATTATTGCTTCATTGGGAAGGGGATAGTAATGAGCACTTAGCAACTTTCCTGAATTTCATGTTCATAATCCTATGGTGGTACAACAGTTAAGTGCTCAGCTGCTAAATGTAAGTGCAATACTTCGAACCCGCCAGTGCTCTGCAGGAGAAAAGGCCTGCTGATGTCCTTGTGTAAAGATTACAGCTTGGTAAACCCTCTGGGTGCAGTTGTACTGTGTCACAGAGGATGGCTATGAGACACAATCAACTCGATGGCCTACAGCAGCAACAATCATCCTATGGAGGTCACAGGAATAGATACAGAGAAAAAAGAAAAATGCATTGACTTGAATGAAGATAAGAAAAAGTAGTAGTGATTGAAAATGAGTGAGAGAGGGAGGAGAGAGATGGGTTTCAGCAAAACTCAGTCCTGAGTTTCTTAGATATCTACACAATATTTTTGAAGTTTTATATCTTCCTTTCAAAAGGGACAGTATTCCTTGGGAAAGTTGTAAGTGCACAGTAAACATGTAACTAGGGAAGTTAATAGAAGGTGTAATTAATTCCAAAAAAGGTTTTAGCTATAAGGCAATCTCTGCTGAACATCACCTGGTTTAATTGTGTGACTCAATTTCTTTGTAGGATGAAGAGAATTACGGCATATCTTAGAGAGTTGTTACAAGGATTACTATCACAAAAGAAACTAAAAGTTGAAAAAAATGTTTATTATAGTAAAATATTTGGAAAGCACCTAATGTAGATGTTGGTACAGAAAAGATACTTAATTTTTTTTTTGCATTAGTTATAAATTATTATTTTATTTGTTTGAGTTGAGGATGATCAAAAGTTTTAGTTTTGGGTCTATAACAAAATCCAAAAATTGTATACAAAAGTGAGCTAACAAAAACCCTCTCAAATAAGATATAGTAGCTTAAAAGAATAATCTTAAAGTGTTCCATCAAATGTTTGCTTTTCTAAAACATGTCTATTCTGTTGATGCATTGATGAATGAATAAATGAATAAAAGCTTCAGAAATACAAATCAGTATCTTAGGCAAGTAAATCCTTTAATTGAGCTCGTTCTTGAACACCAAAAATTTGCTGAGGTTTATGAAATTTTAGGTCTTTCAATAGTGCTTATTAATATTAAATATGCAATGCATTTTATTTTCCTTTTAGGTTAATCTCTTTTTCCTGTTAAATATTGTACGTGTACTCATCACCAAGTTAAAAGTTACTCACCAAGCAGAATCCCATCTCTATATGAAAGCTGTGAGAGCTACGCTTATCCTGGTGCCACTGCTTGGCATTGAATTTGTGTTGCTACCATGGCGACCAGAGGGAAGGACTGCTGAAGAGGTATACGACTACATCATGCACATCCTTATGCACTATCAGGTATGTCTTTCTTGATATGAGGAAGGCAGCTAGGGAAATTTGGTTTTAATATACATGTATCTTTGGTTTTATATTTACTATACATGCAGCAACTAATTTACAAAGATTTATTTATTTTCATCTGGAGTCAGATAATTCTATTTTTATCTTGCAGGGTCTTTTGGTCTCTACAATTTTCTGCTTCTTTAATGGAGAGGTATGATAACTGATTTTATTCCTTTTATCATTTTATATTTACAAGATGTTTTTGTTCTTAAAAAAGATAAAGACAACATGAGACACAATTAAATGTCTCCAGTTAAAAACCTATTTCAAATTCCATCTCCATCAAGAAAAAAAACAAAAAACCATAAAACACAAAATCTCTTTTTTTCATAGATGTAATTCTTTCCAAAAGCTCAGGTTAGATTGGACATCAAGTTTAGGCCAAATTCAGTCTCACTTTAAAATATTCTGTCAGTGACTTTTACCATCTAGTCTTTTTGCATACCTTTTTAGCTAATACTATCAATTATGAATTTAGTCCTAATTACGTTTTTTTGGCAATCCTTAACCTCATAGGACATACACTCTAATAGGAAAAAGAATCACCTCATTTTCTCCTTTTTTTTTTTTTTTTTGCCCACCCCACCAAGTAGGAGATAGTCTTTGTAAAGAGTTTTTAGTGGATGATGTTGTTGTTGTTGTAATGTGCTGTGAGTCGGCCCCAACTCATAGCAACCCCTCCTTGGGTTTCCAAGGCGGTATAACTACGGAAGTAGATTGCCCAACCTTCTTTCCGAGGAGTGGCTAGTGGGTTTGAACCACCAGCCTTCTGGTTAGCAGTCAAATGCCTTAGGCACTATGCTGCCAGAGCTCCCTTTTAGCGGATAGGAAAGAATTTTAAAATTAACTCTCAGTTTTACGGGATGGAGATGCAGTGAGTTCAGAAATTTAGGAAAATAGCCTGATTTAATTTGTAACAAATTTCTAGATTTTGATTGAAAGCTTTCCTAATTTGGAAGTTTCAAGCAATTTGGGACTGATACCATATTTCCTATATATTCAAACAGTGAATACCATCCATCATGAGCAGTTCCCCGAGTGGTGCAAACAGTTTGCACTATTAAGTAAAAGGTTGTCAATTAGAACCCATCCAGCAGCTTTGCAGAAGTAAAGCCTGAAAATCTGTTTCCAAAAAGATTATAGCCAAGAAAGCCCTATGGAGCAGTTCTACTTTTTAACAAATAGGGTCACTATGAGTCAGAATTGACTCACTGGCAAAGGGGTTTGTTTTGTTTTGTTTTTGATTTTAGGTTTGGTTTTTGTTTTATAGTTCATGTTGTGAGCTGTATTGAATTAGCTCTTTGTATGTTTTTAAACTACTTGACAAATATTAATCTATCAGAGAATTTTTGGGAGCTCTGGTGGTATAGTACCTAAGGCATTTGACTGCTAATCAGAAGGCTGGCAGTTCATACCCATGAGCTACTCTTTGGAAGGAAGACTGGGCAATATAGTTCTACAGAGATACTGCCTCAGACACCCAAGGAGGGGTCGCTATGAGTCAAGATTGACTTGACAGCAGTGAGTTTGGTTTTTTAGTGAGTAGGAGAATTTTGGCAGAATTTACAGTTCAGAAATCTAGACAGCAATTGAGTGAGACATGGACACTTGGTACCTGTAAAGCTTATCATGAAGCTTCAGATGAGAAACACATGAAACTGGTCTGCATTAGGAGAACCATTCCATAAAGCAAATCAACTTGGAAAATTATGCATATTAATGAGAAACTATGGAATATTGTTTTTCTTTGCTTAAACAATATTTTAGTTCTTTCTCTTAACATACAATAAAATTTACTGTTTAATGTATTAATGTAGATTTAAAAATATAAATAAAATGTCAAACATAGAAGGCTATATCCCACACTTTTAAGTGGTGCTTCTCTGATTCTTCTGTTATACAGATTATCAGAGAGATTGTTTCCTGAAGGAAGTATAGGCAAAAATCTGATGATACACTGCATTGAGTAAATCTACTGCAAAAGACTTTTAAAGTCTTAAAAACCAAAGGCTAAGATGAGGACTAAGGTGTGCCTCACCCAGGCCATTGTATGTTCACTTGCCTCATATGCATGTGGAAGCGAAACAATGAATAAGGAATACTGAATAATTGATGCCTTTGAATTATGGTGCTGGCAAAGAAGATTGAACATACCGTGGAAACCAGAAGAATGAACAAATATGTCTTGGGAGTACAGTCAGACTGCTCCCTAAAAGCGAGGATGGTGAGACTTCATCTCACATACTTTGGACATGTTATCTGGAAGGGCCAGTCCCTCTAAAAATACATCATGCTTGGTAAAATAGAGAGTCAGTGAAAAAGAAGACCCTCAAGAAGATAGATTGACACAGTGGCTGCTTGTGCCTAACAAGAACATAAGCAAAAAGCACAATTAAAAGAACAGACAAATCATTTGCTATGATAATAAAATTCAGATGACATTTATTACTTACCTCTATAAATTCATTGTACGTAAATGGAATTGTTGTTGTTGTTGTTATGTGCCATCAAGTCGGACCGAATCATAGCGACCCCTCCTTGGGTTTCCGAGGCAGCATCACTATGGAAGTACATTGCCCCATCTTCCTTCCGAGGAGTGGCTGGTGGGTTTGAACTGCCAGCCTTCTGGTTAGCAGTCAAGTGCTTTAGGCACCACGCTACCAGAGCTCCAGTAAATGGAATTAGGTAGTCCAATATGCTTCTCATGTAGGATTTTACAATTAAACCCAAACCATGGTGCTTTCAGTTGCCTCATATGCATGTGAAAACTGGACAATGAATAAGGAAGACTGAAGAAGAGTTGATGCTTTTGAGTAGTGGTGTTAGCAAAGAATGCTGAAAGTACCATGAACTGACTGCCAGAACCAAAGAATCTATCCTGGACAAAGTGCAGTCAGAATGCTCCTTGGAAGCAAAAACGGACAGACTTTGTCTCATCTACTTTGGTTATGTTGTCAGAAGGGACCATTCCCTGGAGAAGGATGTCATGTTTGGTAAAGTGGAGGGTCAGTGAAAAAGGGAAGGTCCTCAATGAGATGGATTGACACAGTGGCAGCAACAATGGGCTCAGCTATAGCAAGGATTGGGAGGCTGGTTCAGGACTGGGCAGTATTTTGTTCTGTTGTGACATAGGGTTGCTATGACTCAGAGCTGACTCAATGGCACCTAACAACAATAACACAAGTGATATGGAAAAAATGCCAGCCAAATATTTTGTATTTTGTGAAATACAAAAGTTATACTTCTGTGTCTACAGAAACAGATTTGTTTTTATAAATGGTAACTTTTAAACATACAAACAACCATTAGAAAAATATTTTGTGGAGGTAGACAATACAGAACAAAGTCACTGACACAGATACACTTAAAACCAATGGTGTCCCTTTCCCCAGCTATGATATCTTAAGCAATTTTCAGAATCCCCTGGGGTATTGGTGTTTACCTTTATTAAGGCAACTGAAGCATGTTCCTTTCAAGTCCAACTAGGACTAATGTAAGTTAGGGAATGTAGTTTTTAGCATTGTGCTCCATCGTCAGTTGCCGTTTTTTGCCAGTTGCCTTTGAGTTGATTCTAAGTCACAGCAACCTCATGTGTCCCAGAGGAGAATTGTGCTCCATGGGATTCTCGTGTCTGTTACCTTTCAGAAGCAGGTCACCAGACCTTTCTTCTGAGGCACCTCTGGGTGCCAGGCTTTCAGTTAGTATCCAAACACTTCATCGTTTGTGCCACTCAGGGATTCCTCCCATCCTTGGCAGATACCCAGTGTATTATGGAATGTTTGTCAAATCATTCTTTTTTAAAAATAAATGAACTAATGAAAATATTAATCATATTGGAATAAAGTCTCAAATTAGCCCTTTTATCTAGAAAGTATGTCCAGAGAATAACTGAGCTAATTCCTAACACTCTTGTTACACTCTATCTGTGTAAGCAAAAGAGACACAGAACTTTGACCATCTGCCATACTGAAAATTTGGCATTGAAAAAGTATAATAACACACAATCCTGAAGCCAGATTGTTGCCAAATCTTTCAGTTCTTCACAACATCTCTAATATTTATCCCTTCTCCTCATCTCCAGAGATACAATTTCTGTTTGTGTATGATTCATTTCTCATCTTAAGAAATACTATAATCCCTCCTTTTCTGTCTTTTTGCCTCTTAGTTTTTTCCCATTCTCTTAACATGAAGACACTGCTGCCAAATTCATTTCGTGGTGTTCCAACTATGTCATGTACTTCTTAAGATCATTTGCTCAGGCTTAGTTTCCTTCTTGCTTTTCACATTAGGTCAACTGTCTGCCTTTCACATAATGTCTCAATTTTTTTTTGTTGTTGTTTTTTTGGTTTTTACTCACATCTTTTCTTTATTTTATATTTTAGCAATGTCTTTCTGTTTTCATTTCTCACTGGTCAAATAACTGTGGCTCAACTAGCACTCAGACAACCTTAGTCACATCCCCAGTCACTCCAACAAAAATGTGCATTGTTAATGTGGACTAGAGACCTAGAGACTCCCCACATCAGGAAGGACCCCCCCAATCACTTGGCTGTAATTATTTTGATTAAATCAATACAAAGATTTATTGAGAACAATTGAATCCACATTCTGTAATGTGAACAAGGCAAAATTTTTATATGAAGACCTGCTTAATGATTCATTATTTTTTAATTGTTAGGTTAAGGAGTATAGGTCCTTGTCAGGTACTGGTGGATGGATAAAGCTGCAATGTTATATTCTAAATAGTTGTCCTGTGGTTTTTATATAATACTCATGCATAAAACAGTTAAATATATTTTCTTATCTTTAGGACCACAGGTTATCTGCTTTCCAATGGCAACTGTTTTTCTGACCCAATTTCAATAAATTTTTCTTATTAAAAGTTTCTTAAGAGTAGACAATTTAATGTTATTTTCAGCAGGTGTGATATTGTATTAGAGGAAACAGATGAAAATGTAACATCCTTTTAGAGAAAAATATAAACAAACAGAAATCTACAAGAGCTATAGAAGGTCTTTAATTAGCTTTACTTTTAACTTTACTAAATAAGCACTCACAGTCCAGGAAATCAGCTCTCCACGTTTTTCTGATGATTTAGTTGCAGGGAAGAAATAGGGTGATGACCTGAGTCAAAGCAGATATTTCAAGTACAAACAGATTATTTCAAAAGCCAGTTTGACTTTTAGAATTGAATTTAAGCTTTCCCTTTTAAGACTCTAAGTACCATATTCACAGCTAAGGAATATCTTCCTGTCAACATTCTTCCTAAGATTTACATAGAATCTTTTGCAAAGCTATTTTCAGGAAGCAGCTATATAATTTATACATTTAATCACTCCACAATTTAGTAACAAAACGAGGAGAAATTAAGCTTCCAAATCAGGATCAGAAACAAACCCCACTAGAAATATCTAGGTAACCAGCCAAAAGTCATTTTTTTTTCAATCTCTATTTATTTCAAATTTATACTCCAAAGCCCTTCCATTTACCATTTGTTTTTGAAGCTATTATCTATGTACATATTATTTTTAAATTACCTTAAATTAAATATTTTATTTGGAAAATTTATGAGTACATTACCAATCCAGAAAGGAAGCAAAGTATAAATTTTTGTAAGATTAATATACGTGTTGTTGTTGTTATGTGCTGTGGAGTCGGACCCGACTCACAGTGATCCTTCCTTGGGTTTCCGAGGCAGTATCACTACGGAAGTAGATCACCCAATCTTCCTTCCGAGGAGTGTCTGGTGAGTTTGAACTGCCAGCCTTCTGGTTAGCAGTCAAGTGCCTTAGGCACTATGCTACCAGAGCTCCCTTAATATACTTAGTGTCGTCTAAATGCTTTTCAATTTCAAAGCAAATTTACATCAAATATTTCCTTCACATATAGTTATCATATATACAAAATAAGCTTGGAAGTTCTGAAATTATTGAATTTCATTATAACTTTTGAAACCAACTTATTGCATTTTAATAACAATTTTTATAATTGAATAGGAAAAAAGCCAACTAAAAATCCTAACAATTAATTTTAAGTTCTAAGGAAGTTCACTGATTTTCAATGTGGCCATCTTTCCTTTCATACTAAAATTTTAAATGAGTCAGTAAAACATTGTGTTCATTTAAGTGAAAGAGTATAGGAGACACGGAAAGAACTTTGTGGTATTCCACATCACTGCAGACATCCTAGACATACTTATTTGGTGTAGAATGTTTATAATTAGGACAACTGAGTTTTCTTCACCTCTTAGACAAATAAATGAAAAAACTTACATAAGTGAGTCCTATTTTCAGAATGATTATTGCTTTGAAGATAGGTATATAATGAGTGGAAAGTTTAGAAATTCTACATAATTAATAGAAAGGCAATTATTTCATGAATGTATTGGTAGTATATAAATTACTAGGAAATGTTCTGAGATTTCTTTTGGGGAATCATTAATAGGGTCAAAGAGCAGCAGAGAGCATGGGAAAATTGTTCAAACAACACCTCCTTTAGGCAGATCCAGTCACAGGGATGTAGTTTATACATTCTTGACTTGGAAGCAGAGATTCCCGAAGTATGAGTACAGCTAATTCATCAGATGTAGAAACGACCAAGTTGGAGATAACTTTGAAAATTTTCATTTGCTTTCCACTTACGGAAAATTAAGAAATTTCCTTAGTGCCCTTTGTTCAATTAAAATCAAAGCTTTTATAGTTGATCTACCTCAGTTTGCGTTCAATTGCCAGCTCAATGGCCGTTTGAACACACCCAGCAGTACTGAAGATGAAAGACCTGTGCTGCTGTTGTTTTTGTTATGTGCAGTGGAGTCCTACCTGACTCATAGTGACCCCTCCTTGGGTTTCCAAGGCAATATCACTACGAAAGTAGATTACCCAACCTTCCTTCTGAGGAGTGGCTGGTGCTTCTGGTTAGCAGCCAAGTGCCTTAGGCACCACGCTATCAGAGCTCCCAATAGACAGTCTGGTCTATCTTGCGGGGGAGCGGCTGGTGGGTTTGAACCACCAGCCTTGCGCTTTGCAGGCAAAAGCCTTAGGCCCTAGGCCATCCCCTAGGGCCAACATTAAGATTACAGTCAAGACACTACTACCCTGAAATAATCTTTACACCTTAAACCAAAAATATATCCTGAAGTCTTCTTAAAACTAAGCATTAGATTAGCATAATTAGTAAAAAAATGTCTGCACTGAGCATTATGCTCTTTTAAGATCAAATTAGCAACAGCAACTTGAAAGATTAGGAACCTTAAAGGACAGGGAATGTTAATACAGGAGGACCAACTCAGAAAAGGAAGGTGAAACTGGTGGCCCAACTCAAGGAATGTGACCGATGTCACTAAATTATACACGAAGAAACTGTTGAATTAGCATATGTTTTGCTCTGTGTATCCTCAACAACAACAACAAAATAAAATTTTGGTGAAAAAACTTACAGCCAAGAAAACCTTATGGACCAGTTCTGCTGTGTAACATGTGGAGTCTCCATGAGTCAGAATCAACTTGATGGCAACTAACAACAATGACAATTCTGATCCCAAATAATGGCTGAGGAGGAAAAAGAGGGGGTAGAGGTTAGAAATCAGTCACTAAACTTCCAATAATTTTTGAGCAGTGTGGCTCCAGATAAAGTATAATTTAATTTAAATTTAAATATGATTTAGTGACTAAATTTTACTAAAGTTCTTTTTCACAACACTCATTCACTTGTAATTATTTTTTCAATAACTTTCTTTTCTCTGGATAGTAAATTCCATGAGGACAACTCTCTGCTCTTTTCTTCAGAATACAGAAAATTCTTTGGCACATGATAATCACTCAGTAATTCTGCTACTTTTGCTGCTTTTGCTCCTGCTGCTGCTCTTGATGATGATTTACATTCCCTGAATCCATAACTTTTCTTTCTCTTCTCTCTTTTCCTCTTATACTCTCACTAATTGTCCTTTCATTCTCTTAATAAATATATTGTATACAAGTAGATATTAAACATATAATCTTGGAAGTGGGGGTCTTTTATTGTTTGAAAATAATAAATATATATGCATCATTAAGTCTTCAAAGATAAGGCATGAAAATAAAAATATTAATGGAATGTGAAAATATGGAGCAATTGTCATATGTTTCTTAATAAGAGTATGAGTACTCATTATAATGTTTTAAATTAAATATAGAAAGAAATATTATTAACTATCTCTAATTAACATCAATGCTTTCATAGTTTTCTTATTAGCCTATTGAATACTATATCATCATTTCAATTAATGGATTTCTCTTGTCCCTTCTGCTTCTTTTTGATGAATAGGTTCAAGCAATTCTGAGAAGAAACTGGAATCAATACAAAATTCAATTTGGGAACAGTTTTTCCCACTCAGATGCTCTCCGTAGTGCATCTTACACAGTGTCAACGATCAGTGATGGTCAAGGTTACAGTCATGACTGTCCTAGCGAACAATTAAATGGAAAAAGCATACAAGATATTGAAAATGTTGTTTTAAAACCAGAAAAGTTATATGCTTGATAAGAGAGGGATCAGTGCTTAACAGTTTTGTACCACTCCTAGCTCAAGGACTTGGTTTGATGACTTTATAGCCAGAAGTCTTCAGTATTAAATGAATTTCTTGAATGATACAAAGAAAACTCCACATGAGTTCAGTCTTGTGCTGGTAAATGTTTAGCAACCAACTTCATGGGAGTAAAAACAAAACAAAACCCCAATTTGTAGCATTTGCCAATTTCCATGCTATAAATACCTTCACCATGGCAAATTTCAAGCTACCAACTTGACATCAATGAACGTGGAATGGAGAAGAGGTGAACACAATCAACTCTTTTGAACCGATATGGGCCAGCTCCAGCACACCACTGATTGAATTCATAAATTAATAAAACTGCAAAAGTCATTATGCATATTGGGTATGATTCTACTCTTGTTGTCTAAAGAGACCTAGCTAAAGCCTGTAGACATGGAACAAAATTAGCTTTAAAACAAATATTTTATACCATATTCATTGATAGAGTTGATTTTTTTTTGCTCAAAAAATATTCTAATCCTTTTTTATAATTACTTTCTCAAATGTAACAGATAAAGAACTAATTAGTCCTGTTGGGTTGTCGTCTTCTCCCCAAGAAAAGCAACTGGGCAGAATTGCTATGGAATGTTCATTTGCTGATACGGCACAGTTATATGTTGTGTCATACCTGTCTTTGAGAATTGGTGATCAGAATGTACGAGATACAGTTCTATTTCTGTATCAGTAAGGAGACATGTTGGTTGATGTTACAAAAACTTCGTCAGCTACTTTCTTATCTTACTACACAGGTGGGAAGGAATTAGTTTTCCTGTCTCTGTAAATAGAAACTTTGCTCCTTCCATTTCTACTGTGTAAACATATTAGCAATCATTTTATATGAAGGAAATCAATGAAGAATTTCTTATTTTCTCTGGACTTTGTAAAAAGTTTGTTGTGCAAATGAGCTTGTAAATACTGTGTTATTCTATTTTATACTCTCAAATCAAATACATATAACCTAAGTAAGTAGTTTTTAAAAGCAAATACGTAATGAAACAATATTTGCATTTTGATATCTGATATTGTGTCTGGGCTGATTTTATAATAAAATAGGGTCTGGAATTCTATGTTTGGTAAATATTTTAAAGACAACCAGATGCCAGCATCAGAAGTTTGAGATCTATGAGAACAGAACATCTATGATAAGATATAAAGTATTTATTTAAAAAAAACTCAAGATCATTGTTTTATTAAATATATTAACCTGATGATTCATACTTTAATAATAGCTTGACATATTTTTCCTTTTATTTTGACGATGAACTTACATTCTAATTCAGAAAAGTTAAACAACGCCTATTGTAAAATATGCAATTCTGCTACTCTTATGGATTTAATCCCATTAAAAATATGACTTTACTGACTTTTAATACATAAAGAAATATCATTTCAGGAATGTTCCAGTTTAATTTTTAAACAAATAAAGAAACACTATCTACAGATTATTTTATAATGTATTTTTTTTAAAAAATAGAATATTTTAAAAGAGCCAATGTCTATGATAATCCAAATCAGTAAAGTACTTGAATATATTATTGAGGAAGAATTGTGTCAGAATATTTATGGAATAATTAAGATGAAAAATGTCTTGCTAATGAATTAAAATGACATTTAATAGCATTCAGATTCCCTAATGTTAATTTTTGGGAGCTCTGGTGGCATAGTGCCTAAGGCATTTGACTGCTAACCAGAAGGCTGGAGGTTCAAACCTACCAGCCACTCCTTAGAAGGAAGACTGGGCAATCTGCTTCCATAGAGATACCGCCTCAGAAACCCAAAGAGGGGTCTCTATGAGTCAGAACAGACTCAATGGCAGAGAGATTTTGGTTTTTTGTGGTTTTTTTAATGTTAATTTCCACTGAAATATCTGAAGAACTAAAATGATTTTAATTAGTAAAAGGCAGTTTTAGGGGAAGTCATTATGTATATGTTATTGAACCAGGTCAGTCTGTTAAAATGATCAAACTAATGACTTAGTCATTGTAGATTGTTTCTTAAGCCCACAATAAGTGGTAAATTCAGATGTTACTTGAAATCATCCCAGATAATTATCTAAGTCAGTAATAATTAACATATTTTTAATGGTCTGGCCAACACAACTATAATTTATCTCTGCATGTAAAATTACTATTAAGTTAGTAATTTTGTGGATTTCATAGTATATGTCATAAAAAAGAACACAGGCTGTTCTGCACTTTCTATTGTCTAAATTATACAAAAATTCTTTTAAATAAAACTCACTTTTTAGCTATTTATTATTCAAGAAACAGATTTAAATGCTTTCCTAACAGTGTTCATGTATTTCAGTATTATTCCAGACAAGCTGTCAAATAACTCATAAATGACAGTACAAAATGTTGAATTACCAGACAGTGTTATGTTAAAACAACAATACTGTAATTTTCAAGTAATTTTATTATTATTTTTAATCAATATTAAGTTTAGATCAGATTTCTTCAATGGCCAATGCTCATCTATTGTACAGTCTTCAAATACAGGCAATCTATGATTAATCAATGTTAGTATGAGACATATATGTGT